GCCTAAGCCTAAGGCCTAAGCCTAAGCCTAAGCCTAAGCCTAAGCCTAAGCCTAAGCCTAAGCCTAAGCCTAAGCCTAAGCTAAGCCTAAGCCTAAGCCTAAGCCTAAGCCTAAGCCTAAGCCTAAGCCTAAGCCTAAGCTAAGCCTAAGCCTAAGCTAAGCCTAAGCCTAAGCCTAAGCCTAAGCCTAAGCCTAAGCCTAAGCCTAAGCCTAAGCCTAAGCCTAAGCCTAAGCCTAAGCTAAGCCTAAGCCTAAGCCTAAGCTAAGCCTAACCTAAGCCTAAGCCTAAGCCTAAGCCTAAGCCTAAGCCTAAGCTAAGCCTAAGCCTAAGCCTAAGCCTAAGCCTAAGCTAAGCCTAAGCCTAAGCCTAAGCTAAGCCTAAGCCTAAGCTAAGCCTAAGCCTAAGCCTAAGCCTAAGCCTAAGCCTAAGCTAAGCCTAAGCCTAAGCCTAGCCTAAGCCTAAGCCTAAGCCTAAGCCTAAGCCTAAGCCTAAGCCTAAGCCTAAGCCTAAGCCTAAGCCTAAGCCTAAGCTAAGCCTAAGCCTAAGCCTAAGCCTAAGCCTAAGCCTAAGCCTAAGCTAAGCCTAAGCCTAAGCCTAAGCTAAGCCTAAGCCTAAGCCTAAGCCTAAGCCTAAGCCTAAGCCTAAGCCTAAGCTAAGCCTAAGCTAAGCCTAAGCCTAAGCCTAAGCTAAGCCTAAGCCTAAGCTAAGCCTAAGCCTAAGCCTAAGCCTAAGCCTAAGCCTAAGCCTAAGCCTAAGCCTAAGCCTAAGCCTAAGCCTAAGCCTAAGCCTAAGCCTAAGCCTAAGCTAAGCCTAAGCTAAGCCTAAGCCTAAGCCTAAGCCTAAGCCTAAGCCTAAGCCTAAAGCCTAAGCCTAAGCCTAAGCCTAAGCCTAAGCCTAAGCCTAAGCCTAAGCCTAAGCTAACTAAGCCTAAGCCTAAGCCTAAGCCTAAGCCTAAGCCTAAGCCTAAGCCTAAGCCTAAGCCTAAGCCTAAGCCTAAGCCTAAGCCTAAGCCTAAGCCTAAGCCTAAGCCTAAGCCTAAGCCTAAGCCTAAGCCTAAGCCTAAAGCCTAAGCCTAAGCCTAAGCCTAAGCCTAAGCCTAAGCCTAAGCCTAAGCCTAAGCCTAAGCCTAAGCCTAAGCCTAAGCCTAAGCCTAAGCTAAGCCTAAGCCTAAGCCTAAGCCTAAGCCTAAGCCTAAGCCTAAGCCTAAGCCTAAGCCTAAGCCTAAGCCTAAGCCTAAGCCTAAGCCTAAGCCTAAGCCTAAGCCTAAGCCTAAGCCTAAGCCTAAGCCTAAGCCTAAGCCTAAGCCTAAGCCTAAGCCTAAGCCTAAGCCTAAGCCTAAGCCTAAGCCTAAGCCTAAGCCTAAGCCTAAGCCTAAGCCTAAGCCTAAGCCTAAGCCTAAGCCTAAGCCTAAGCCTAAGCCTAAGCCTAAGCCTAAGCCTAAGCCTAAGCCTAAGCCTAAGCCTAAGCCTAAGCCTAAGCCTAAGCCTAAGCCTAAGCCTAAGCCTAAGCCTAAGCCTAAGCCTAAGCCTAAGCCTAAGCCTAAGCCTAAGCCTAAGCCTAAGCCTAAGCCTAAGCCTAAGCTAAGCCTAAGCCTAAGCCTAAGCCTAAGCCTAAGCCTAAGCCTAAGCCTAAGCCTAAGCCTAAGCCTAAGCCTAAGCCTAAGCCTAAGCCTAAGCCTAAGCCTAAGCCTAAGCCTAAGCCTAAGCCTAAGCCTAAGCCTAAGCCTAAGCCTAAGCCTAAGCCTAAGCCTAAGCCTAAGCCTAAGCCTAAGCCTAAGCCTAAGCCTAAGCCTAAGCCTAAGCCTAAGCCTAAGCCTAAGCCTAAGCCTAAGCCTAAGCCCTAAGCCTAAGCCTAAGCCTAAGCCTAAGCCTAAGCTAAGCCTAAGCCTAAGCCTAAGCCTAAGCCTAAGCCTAAGCCTAAGCCTAAGCCTAAGCCTAAGCCTAAGCCTAAGCCTAAGCCTAAGCCTAAGCCTAAGCCTAAGCCTAAGCCTAAGCCTAAGCCTAAGCCTAAGCCTAAGCCTAAGCCTAAGCCTAAGCCTAAGCCTAAGCCTAAGCCTAAGCCTAAGCCTAAGCCTAAGCCTAAGCCTAAGCCTAAGCCTAAGCCTAAGCCTAAGCCTAAGCCTAAGCCTAAGCCTAAGCCTAAGCCTAAGCCTAAGCCTAAGCCTAAGCCTAAGCCTAAGCCTAAAGCCTAAGCCTAAGCCTAAGCCTAAGCCTAAGCCTAAGCCTAAGCCTAAGCCTAAGCCTAAGCCTAAGCCTAAGCCTAAGCCTAAGCCTAAGCCTAAGCCTAAGCCTAAGCCTAAGCCTAAGCCTAAGCCTAAGCCTAAGCCTAAGCCTAAGCCTAAGCCTAAGCCTAAGCCTAAGCCTAAGCCTAAGCCTAAGCCTAAGCCTAAGCTAAGCCTAAGCCTAAGCCTAAGCCTAAGCCTAAGCCTAAGCCTAAGCCTAAGCCTAAGCCTAAGCCTAAGCCTAAGCCTAAGCCTAAGCCTAAGCCTAAGCCTAAGCCTAAGCCTAAGCCTAAGCCTAAGCCTAAGCCTAAGCCTAAGCCTAAGCCTAAGCCTAAGCCTAAGCCTAAGCCTAAGCCTAAGCCTAAGCCTAAGCCTAAGCTAAGCCTAAGCCTAAGCCTAAGCCTAAGCCTAAGCCTAAGCCTAAGCCTAAGCCTAAGCCTAAGCCTAAGCCTAAGCCTAAGCCTAAGCCTAAGCCTAAGCCTAAGCCTAAGCCTAAGCCTAAGCCTAAGCCTAAGCCTAAGCCTAAGCCTAAGCCTAAGCCTAAGCCTAAGCCTAAGCCTAAGCCTAAGCCTAAGCCTAAGCCTAAGCCTAAGCCTAAGCCTAAGCCTAAGCCTAAGCCTAAGCCTAAGCCTAAGCCTAAGCCTAAGCCTAAGCCTAAGCCTAAGCCTAAGCCTAAGCCTAAGCCTAAGCCTAAGCCTAAGCCTAAGCCTAAGCCTAAGCCTAAGCCTAAGCCTAAGCCTAAGCCTAAGCCTAAGCCTAAGCCTAAGCCTAAGCCTAAGCCTAAGCCTAAGCCTAAGCCTAAGCCTAAGCCTAAGCCTAAGCCTAAGCCTAAGCCTAAGCCTAAGCCTAAGCCTAAGCCTAAGCCTAAGCCTAAGCCTAAGCCTAAGCCTAAAGCCTAAGCCTAAGCCTAAGCCTAAGCCTAAGCCTAAGCCTAAGCCTAAGCCTAAGCCTAAGCCTAAGCCTAAGCCTAAGCCTAAGCCTAAGCCTAAGCCTAAGCCTAAGCCTAAGCCTAAGCCTAAGCCTAAGCCTAAGCCTAAGCCTAAGCCTAAGCCTAAGCCTAAGCCTAAGCCTAAGCCTAAGCCTAAGCCTAAGCCTAAGCCTAAGCCTAAGCCTAAGCCTAAGCCTAAGCCTAAGCCTAAGCCTAAGCCTAAGCCTAAGCCTAAGCCTAAGCCTAAGCCTAAGCCTAAGCCTAAGCCTAAGCCTAAGCCTAAGCCTAAGCCTAAGCCTAAGCCTAAGCCTAAGCCTAAAGCCTAAGCCTAAGCCTAAGCCTAAGCCTAAGCCTAAGCCTAAGCCTAAGCCTAAGCCTAAGCCTAAGCCTAAGCCTAAGCCTAAGCCTAAGCCTAAGCCTAAGCCTAAGCCTAAGCCTAAGCCTAAGCCTAAGCCTAAGCCTAAGCCTAAGCCTAAGCCTAAGCCTAAGCCTAAGCCTAAGCCTAAGCCTAAGCCTAAGCCTAAGCCTAAGCCTAAGCCTAAGCCTAAGCCTAAGCCTAAGCCTAAGCCTAAGCCTAAGCCTAAGCCTAAGCCTAAGCCTAAGCCTAAGCCTAAGCCTAAGCCTAAGCCTAAGCCTAAGCCTAAGCCTAAGCCTAAGCCTAAGCCTAAGCCTAAGCCTAAGCCTAAGCCTAAGCCTAAGCCTAAGCCTAAGCCTAAGCCTAAGCCTAAGCCTAAGCCTAAGCCTAAGCTAAGCCTAAGCCTAAGCCTAAGCCTAAGCCTAAGCCTAAGCCTAAGCCTAAGCCTAAGCCTAAGCCTAAGCCTAAGCCTAAGCCTAAGCCTAAGCCTAAGCCTAAGCCTAAGCCTAAGCCTAAGCCTAAGCCTAAGCCTAAGCCTAAGCCTAAGCCTAAGCCTAAGCCTAAGCCTAAGCCTAAGCCTAAGCCTAAGCCTAAGCCTAAGCCTAAGCCTAAGCCTAAGCCTAAGCCTAAGCCTAAGCCTAAGCCTAAGCCTAAGCCTAAGCCTAAGCCTAAGCCTAAGCCTAAGCCTAAGCCTAAGCCTAAGCCTAAGCCTAAGCCTAAGCCTAAGCCTAAGCCTAAGCCTAAGCCTAAGCCTAAGCCTAAGCCTAAGCCTAAGCCTAAGCCTAAGCCTAAGCCTAAGCCTAAGCCTAAGCCTAAGCCTAAGCCTAAGCCTAAGCCTAAGCCTAAGCCTAAGCCTAAGCCTAAGCCTAAGCCTAAGCCTAAGCCTAAGCCTAAGCCTAAGCCTAAGCCTAAGCCTAAGCCTAAGCCTAAGCCTAAGCCTAAGCCTAAGCCTAAGCCTAAGCCTAAGCCTAAGCCTAAGCCTAAGCCTAAGCCTAAGCCTAAGCCTAAGCCTAAGCCTAAGCCTAAGCCTAAGCCTAAGCCTAAGCCTAAGCCTAAGCCTAAGCCTAAGCCTAAGCCTAAGCCTAAGCCTAAGCCTAAGCCTAAGCCTAAGCCTAAGCCTAAGCCTAAGCCTAAGCCTAAGCCTAAGCCTAAGCCTAAGCCTAAGCCTAAGCTAAGCCTAAGCCTAAGCCTAAGCCTAAGCCTAAGCCTAAGCCTAAGCCTAAGCCTAAGCCTAAGCCTAAGCCTAAGCCTAAGCCTAAGCCTAAGCCTAAGCCTAAGCCTAAGCCTAAGCCTAAGCCTAAGCCTAAGCCTAAGCCTAAGCCTAAGCCTAAGCCTAAGCCTAAGCCTAAGCCTAAGCCTAAGCCTAAGCCTAAGCCTAAGCCTAAGCCTAAGCCTAAGCCTAAGCCTAAGCCTAAGCCTAAGCCTAAGCCTAAGCCTAAGCCTAAGCCTAAGCCTAAGCCTAAGCCTAAGCCTAAGCCTAAGCCTAAGCCTAAGCCTAAGCTAAGCCTAAGCCTAAGCCTAAGCCTAAGCCTAAGCCTAAGCCTAAGCCTAAGCCTAAGCCTAAGCCTAAGCCTAAGCCTAAGCCTAAGCCTAAGCCTAAGCCTAAGCCTAAGCCTAAGCCTAAGCCTAAGCCTAAGCCTAAGCCTAAGCCTAAGCCTAAGCCTAAGCCTAAGCCTAAGCCTAAGCCTAAGCCTAAGCCTAAGCCTAAGCCTAAGCCTAAGCCTAAGCCTAAGCCTAAGCCTAAGCCTAAGCCTAAGCCTAAGCCTAAGCCTAAGCCTAAGCCTAAGCCTAAGCCTAAGCCTAAGCCTAAGCCTAAGCCTAAGCCTAAGCCTAAGCCTAAGCCTAAGCCTAAGCCTAAGCCTAAGCCTAAGCCTAAGCCTAAGCCTAAGCCTAAGCCTAAGCCTAAGCCTAAGCCTAAGCCTAAGCCTAAGCCTAAGCCTAAGCCTAAGCCTAAGCCTAAGCCTAAGCCTAAGCCTAAGCCTAAGCCTAAGCCTAAGCCTAAGCCTAAGCCTAAGCCTAAGCCTAAGCCTAAGCCTAAGCCTAAGCCTAAGCCTAAGCCTAAGCCTAAGCCTAAGCCTAAGCCTAAGCCTAAGCCTAAGCCTAAGCCTAAGCCTAAGCCTAAGCCTAAGCCTAAGCCTAAGCCTAAGCCTAAGCCTAAGCCTAAGCCTAAGCCTAAGCCTAAGCCTAAGCCTAAGCCTAAGCCTAAGCCTAAGCCTAAGCCTAAGCCTAAGCCTAAGCCTAAGCCTAAGCCTAAGCCTAAGCCTAAGCCTAAGCCTAAGCCTAAGCCTAAGCCTAAGCCTAAGCCTAAGCCTAAGCCTAAGCCTAAGCCTAAGCCTAAGCCTAAGCCTAAGCCTAAGCCTAAGCCTAAGCCTAAGCCTAAGCCTAAGCCTAAGCCTAAGCCTAAGCCTAAGCCTAAGCCTAAGCCTAAGCCTAAGCCTAAGCCTAAGCCTAAGCCTAAGCCTAAGCCTAAGCCTAAGCCTAAGCCTAAGCCTAAGCCTAAGCCTAAGCCTAAGCCTAAGCCTAAGCCTAAGCCTAAGCCTAAGCCTAAGCCTAAGCCTAAGCCTAAGCCTAAGCCTAAGCCTAAGCCTAAGCCTAAGCCTAAAGCCTAAGCCTAAGCCTAAGCCTAAGCCTAAGCCTAAAGCCTAAGCCTAAGCCTAAGCCTAAGCCTAAGCCTAAGCCTAAGCCTAAGCCTAAGCCTAAGCCTAAGCCTAAGCCTAAGCCTAAGCCTAAGCCTAAGCCTAAGCCTAAGCCTAAGCCTAAGCCTAAGCCTAAGCCTAAGCCTAAGCCTAAGCCTAAGCCTAAGCCTAAGCCTAAGCCTAAGCCTAAGCCTAAGCCTAAGCCTAAGCCTAAGCCTAAGCCTAAGCCTAAGCCTAAGCCTAAGCCTAAGCCTAAGCCTAAGCCTAAGCCTAAGCCTAAGCCTAAGCCTAAGCCTAAGCCTAAGCCTAAGCCTAAGCCTAAGCCTAAGCCTAAGCCTAAGCCTAAGCCTAAGCCTAAGCCTAAGCCTAAGCCTAAGCCTAAGCCTAAGCCTAAGCCTAAGCCTAAGCCTAAGCCTAAGCCTAAGCCTAAGCCTAAGCCTAAGCCTAAGCCTAAGCCTAAGCCTAAGCCTAAGCCTAAGCCTAAGCCTAAGCCTAAGCCTAAGCCTAAGCCTAAGCCTAAGCCTAAGCCTAAGCCTAAGCCTAAGCCTAAGCCTAAGCCTAAGCCTAAGCCTAAGCCTAAGCCTAAGCCTAAGCCTAAGCCTAAGCCTAAGCCTAAGCCTAAGCCTAAGCCTAAGCCTAAGCCTAAGCCTAAGCCTAAGCCTAAGCCTAAGCCTAAGCCTAAAGCCTAAGCCTAAGCCTAAGCCTAAGCCTAAGCCTAAGCCTAAGCCTAAGCCTAAGCCTAAGCCTAAGCCTAAGCCTAAGCCTAAGCCTAAGCCTAAGCCTAAGCCTAAGCCTAAGCCTAAGCCTAAGCCTAAGCCTAAGCCTAAGCCTAAGCCTAAGCCTAAGCCTAAGCCTAAGCCTAAGCCTAAGCCTAAGCCTAAGCCTAAGTATACCTTAAGCCAAAGCCTAAGCATTATTTTATTATTTAAGATGTCAAATGACCACAATGTATGTGACAGTTCCCGCACTATGCGTATATAATCATCAATTTTTTTTTTTTATTAAATGATATTTTTTAATACTTTAACATCCTTTGAAATTAAATTTTGATAATAGTAGGAATTCTTACCTAGTTTCAGTATGCAAATACCCGTACAAATTATGGGATTTTTATAAATGTATTATTTAAATTTGAAATATAAATTAATTTTAATTGTAAGAATGAATTAAAATCGTGAAAAATTAAAAATTTAATTAATTTCTAAAGTTTTATTTTATTATTTTTGCTGGTCAAATGACCACGGTGTGTGTGACCAGTACCTTGCAACGCATAAAATTCAATCAATTAAGTACAAAATATCTATTTTTTTAATGATTTGTTATTTTTTAATATTTTAACAATTATTTAAAATTACTTTTTGATATTGCTAGAATTTATTTTGTAGATTAATATGTTTCACAAAAATCCAGATTTTTTGAAATAAAAATTTATTATAATTGTGAGAATGAATTAAAACCGTCACTAATTTAAAATTTAATTAGTTTTGCTAATCAAATATTGATTAAACTTAATTATTAAAGTTTATTCAAATATTTATGCTGGTCAAGATGACCACAATGTATGCGACCAGTACCTATGCAATGCACACAAATTAATCAATTAAGTTCAAAATATCCATTTTATTTTAATTAATTGATGATTTTCGATATTTTAACATTTAATTAAAATCAAAAATT